CTCTCTCTCTCTCTCTCTCTCTCTCTCTCTCTCTCTCTCTCTCTCTCTCTCTTTCTCTCTCTATTGGTCTTGCTTCTTCCATCTCTGTTCCACTCGCTCGCTGTTCTTTCTATCTCGCGAACAGAGACCAGATCTACGGCGGCTCCGACGTAGAAACGGGTTTTGGAAGTTGGACTCGCGCGATGTCGAGTCCTCGCGCTCGGCTCCCGAGAAACCTCTGTCTCTGCTCCCGCCTTCGTTTAGCGGTAAACACGGCCGTTCAATTCCGATAACGATAGGATATCGATAGATTTGTAGATCTAAGCTCGTACGATCGAGAGAGAAAGGCAAATATCGAAGACAATTGTTATTTCCATCGCACTGCGAAACAAAATTAATTCAGCTACGACACGATTTATCTCTTCCGTCCAGTAACACTCGTGATTCGCGTAGGAATCGCGCTTTCAACGAGCGCCAGTCTCCGACTCACGCACATTTATATTTTTCGAATTTAATGCGATATCCGTGCATATTCACGCGTAGAATATAACGGAACGCGTGCGTACACATTATGCGGCCTACACGTCGCGGGGAACACTGGTTCCAATTCATCCTCACGCGGGTCTCCCATTATCCGTCCTAACCGGCGACGGAGAATCATTAAGCCACGGCGCCTTTTGTCCGTTTGTCCTATACGCGCGTCCGTCTTTAACAACGAGCTCGGAAAGTACGACGCGGGACTCGAGAAAAACGGCCGTCGTGAGGCGAGGTGTGCTCCACTTCGATACTTTCCTCTCATCCTCCACTCGAGAGGACCGGGAACCATCACCCCCTTCTTTCCGATCGTCGTTACACTTTTCACGGCCACTGCTCTCGAGAGTCGAGAATCGATTACGAATCGGACGATCGCGGTACGTGGCGGTCCCTTGCGAGAGTGAATGCGAGAGCGAGGCCGTTGCACACACACCGCGTGTATATCGCGGTACGAAGTGATGACCGTAATGACTCTAACCACCGTCTGACATCTGGCATTAGGCACTCGGGCTTTCGAGTGGCAACGCCCGCAGCAATTGTTGCCGTTTACGACTGCCGTGCGCGCTCTCCTTCTCTCTCGCGCCAGCGGTTCATCTTCCTCCATTCCTTCTCTATCTCTTCACTCCTCTCTTTTTCTCCCTCTATCTTACTCTCGCTCCCGCTCGAGCGAATCTGGCTTCCTCGTCTCTCTCTCCACGTATCTCTTCTCTCCCGATCCTTTCTCTTTCCCTCCCGATCTTTCGCTCCGTATCTCTTCCTCTCTCTCTCTCTCTTTCTCTTTCTTTCTCTCGCCTTCCTCGTGCCTCTCTCACCCACTCTCCTCCTCGTATCTCCTTCTCGTTTCCTCTGTCCCGTTCGCTCGCATGTCTCTTTACTCTCTCTCTCGCTCGTTCCTTCGCTCGCTCCTGGTCTCTCCCTACCTCTCGTTTAGTCCGCTCTCGATCTT